AACACCCCCGCGCCGACACCGCGCACCGACACCCGCCCCGACACCACCCGCCTCTCCGCGCGCGGGACCGCCCCGCGCGACCCCGGGAAGCCGCCGCGCCRCCCCGCGCCCGAGTGTCCCGGCGTGCTCCGCGCGGCGCCTAATCTGCATGGACACACTCATGTCTTCTCTGCGCGCGCCGCGGACCTGAGGCCAGCATCTCTCATCTGCATAGACACGCCCCCTTGTCCCTCGCCCCGCCCCCGGCCTCGGCGGCCCCGCCGCCCTCGCTCCGCAGCCCCGGGCAGCCGCTGCCGCGGCCCCGCGACGCCCGGCTGTTCCACAGCGACACCATCCGCCTCTCCGCGCGCTGAACCATCTCATGCGGCCCCGCGAAGCCGCCGCGTCGCCCCGCGTCTGAGTGTCCCGGCGTGCAGCGCGCGCGCGGGTACTAATCTGCATGGACACGCCTCCGCCTCCTCTGAACCCGCCCCCTAGCCTGCAACCAGCGCATGTCCCGTTGTCCTTCTGCCGGGCTGTATTTACATAAACGCGCCCCCTCCGTGCCTGACCCCCCCCCCCAGCCACGGGTTCCTCCGTATCCACTGCGCTCATCTGCATAGCCCCGCCCATCCGCCTAGAGGCCACGCCCCCACAGGATGACTCCTCCCTCCGCCGGCGGCTCTGCGCGGGCTGCGGTTGCGGCGCCGGTGGACCCGGGTCTGGGGCCGCCCTCGGTCCCATCCCCTCCCCGTGTCCTGCTCCCTGGGCGCTGGACCCTGCCAGCCGGGTCCCTCCAGGCCCTGTTTCTCCCCCCTCCCCACACTCCTGGCCTGTCCATCCCCTCTGGCCCTTTCCTGGGCAGCAAATGTGGAGCACCACGGGGGTGACCCAGAGGCAGACAAGGGCCATGGGGGGCACTGCTTTATTCAGGGGCAGTGGAGTGGCCCCTATCACTGATCCACGTTCTTGACACGCAGGACGACCGGCACCGAGGTGCAGGGTATCATGCCCAAGTCAGTGATGACCATGTCCACCAGCTCAGGTGGTGTCACGTCATACACCAGGTTGAGGAGGCGCAGGGACTTGTTCTCTGCCCAACCGCTGAGCTGGGCCTGGCCCTGCCGCGGCACGATCAGGTCATCGGGATCATCTGCCGAGAGAGGGAGAGATGCAGCCCACAGGCCCTGGGAAGGGACAGGCACTGTGGCCCTCCTCCTGCTGGAGGCACCTAGGCATGACCCTCTGCCGGGGGTCCTGCTCCCCTGGGAAAGGGCACAGTGGGCAGCTCGTCCTGCCAGGGTGAGGCAGCAGGAGTGGCACCAGGACGCAGCCCTACCCAGCTCGTTGGAGACAAAGGAGTCCGTCTGCACCCGCTCGCAGAACTTGTAGGTCTCGCAGCACACGAGGACAGGCACGTTGTAAGCCTTGGAGAGCAGCGCGATCTGTGATGTCCCCACACGGGACATCACTGAGCCGTTGGCCAGGAGCGCGTGGGCGCCGAGCAGCACTTTGGTCACCTGTGAGGGACACCCAGGGAGCCGTGAAAGCCTTACACGGCCCTGTGCCCGTCCCGCACCCGCAGGCCCCCCGCTCACCTCAGGCAGCACGTAGGAGATGGCGTTGATCATGACGTAGGTGCAGCGGATGCCACGGCGCACAAGGCAGCGCAGCGTGGCACGGCCCTCGAGCCGCGGGCGGCTGTCCACCACCACCACGCGGAACGTGCGGCCCTTCTGCCCGTGGGCGTCACACAGCGTGCGGTTCACGAGCGAGGAGCTGTGAGGGGCTGCTGAGGGTGCCGCCGGGCTGAGCGAGCGCCCGGCCCCTCACTGCCCGCCGCTCTTACCAGCCATACACCAGGATCACGTCRTTCTCCTTGATCTTCTCGAAGGCAGAGCGAGAAATGGCTTCAGCYGCCAGGACGATCTTCTCCCGCAAATACTTGTCGATAAGGCCGTGCAGCTTCTCCTTGGCCTAGGGAGGGATGTTGGCACCGGCGGTGCGACTGTGCCCCTCACCGCCCAGGCCAGCCCTGCCCGTGGGCACCTCCTCGTGCYGGGATGGAGCAGAGCAGCTCCCACCGCGTCCCCAGGAGCCCTGGGCCGCGTGGGGGTTGCTCCGGCTGCCCAGGGGACTCGTGGCTGCCGCTGCTGCGGCCGTTGCTGCTCAGGCCTTTGCAGACCCTCTCCTTGCCCGCTGGCCACGCCACCTGTGGCCAGGTCTGCATGGGCACCCCGCAGCCCTCGGGGAGCTCCCTGCACTGACAAACGGGTCCATCTCCATACACAGCTCTGCCCACACCGCACGCTGGCTGCGGGGTGACCTGGGGACACGGGTACCTCAGGCGCCGGCAGCTCTGCCCGGTGCTGTGGGATGGTGCCGCTGGAACCTCCCGTGTTTCCCATGGCCATTCGAGCTGTTTCTTGACACGGCACCACAGGGGTTGCCAGCCGGCGCTGCAGCCGGCGCTCAAGGCACTGCAGCGGGAGCTGTCACTGCGGCCGCGCCTGCTCGCGGCACCTCGTCCCACCAGCACCAAGGTACCTGCCCCCGGCATCACTGCGGCCCGTCCCGATCCGCTGTGCCTGCTGGAGGGGGAGCAGCTCTGGCTGTGGCCCCAGGGCCGCAGCGGGTGGCAACGGGTCCCGTGTCCGCGCAGGCTGCTCCATGTGCACCCGTCCCCTCTGCTGGGTCACCCTGCAGTGTCCCTGTCCCCTCGGTCTGCAGCGGAGCTGGCTGTGTGCAGAAGGCCATGTGCTCACCTCCTCCTCTCGCAGGGTGTCAGGCAGGCAGGAAATCTCCTTCTTGAGGAACTTGATGGCGTTGCCCATGCTGGCGGAGAGCGGCCGGCACTGGTTGAGGAAGCTGTGGAGAGGCACCGGGCTCAGCTGGAGCAGCCCATGGCGGCAGGAGGGTGCAAAGGGCCAGGAGCGGCAGGGAGGCCGGAGCAGCAGCACCCTGGGAGAGCCGGGCTGCGTGGGGCAGCACTCAGGCCATGCTTGGCGGAGCCGCCGCTCCGGAGCCCTCACCTGATGTGCGGCTTCAGTTTGGCCACCAGGTCCCGCGAGAGCTCCTCGTTGGGGGGAGTCACGTAATCCCGGATCAGCTGGGACGAGAGGGACGGGAGAACGCGGGGTGCTCGCTCCGCTAATCCCAGCGCTGCCACGGCCACCAGCTCCCAGGGACGATCCACGTGGGGCGATGCTGGGCACGGGGCAGCACCGAGGGTGCAGGACGCGCAAGCTGCAGCGGTGGCACCGCCGCAGGGCCGGGAGGGAAGGATGTCCCCGCTGCCGGCTGTGGGATGGGGAGGAGGGAGAGGTGCCTGTCCCGGCGCAGCGCCCGCGGTACCTGTTTGAAGACCTCAAGCAGGGCAATGCAGCGGGCGTTGGAGCCGTTGATGATGCCCTGCGAGTACCGGAGGCCGAGGCGCACCACAGCCGGATGGATCACCGTGGAGGGGATGCTGCAGGGAAGGAGACAAGGCCGTCAGCGCACGTGGCGGCCCGGGGACAGCGGATGGTGCCGTGCCCCAGCGGTGTCTCCAGGTTGCTGCTCGCTGCATCACTCACGACCACGTTATGCGCTGCCTGCACAGCCTCTTTGCCCACAGTTTCCCTTATCTCCAGACAGGACAACCCGCTGCCCCTCCCAAAGCGGCCAGCACCCCCAAAGCCCCGGTGCCCCAAGTCTACACGCCAAGCACAGCCCTTTCCCCCAGCACGTCCTGCAGCGACCGGCTGGAGCGGAGCTGCGAGCCCAGCCCGCGCTGGCCACCTGCCTCATCTGCTGAGTCAGCGGCTTATTCCGGCTGTACTGGTGCAAGTGGGAGAACAGGTTGACCTTGGTGCCGTAGTCCTGTCTCAGAGGCACCTGCAGGCAGACAGGGGCACGGGGCTCACGCAGTGTCCTCCCTGCTCGCTCGGCGCCACCAGCGCCGCCGCAGTGCGTACCGGGGTGCACCGAGGCGCCCCGGTGCTGCCCGGTGTCGCGGCCACCCCACCTGTTGGCGCTCCAGCTTCTTGGCCAGCCTCCTCTGCACGGCGGGGTCGTCCACCTGCACGTGCTCGGGCAGCCGCTTGGGCGCTGCGGGAGAGCAGGAGCTGCAGCGCGTGCCGGTGCTSTGGGGGCGGCGCGTGCCAGTACCAGTGCTGGGGCCCTACCGCCCGGCGTCTCCGCGAGGCCCGGCCTGCCCCTGCCCGGCGCCGCGCCGTGGCTCTGCTCCGCTCGCCTGGCCTGCTTCTGCGCCCGCTCCGCATCCTGCCTGGCGCGGCGCTCCGCGCGCAGCTCCGCTTTGCTTCTGCCCCCCGCCAGCTTCTCGGGGCCACCGGGGCCGTTGGCCGGGGCCGCCGCGGCGGGAGCCGCTGCTGCTGCGGAGCAGGGGGAGCCTGAGCCCAGCGGGCAGGAGGGGCGGCGTGGGGCTGGGGGGCTCCCTGTGGGACATGTGAGATGTGTGGGGGCTGTGGGAGGCGAGGGCAGGGCTCCCTGTGGGGCAGGGGTTTCTTATGGGGCGTCACCCTATGGTGTGGGGGGAGTCTCATGATGTGAGGGATGTGTGTGGAGGTTCCTTTGAGGGCCAGGGGTCTCGTGGTAGGGCACAGGGCTATCATTGTGAGGCAAGGGGGTCTCCCCATGGGGCTGCGTGGGGCAGGGGTCTCCCCATGGGGCAGGGATGCGTGTGGGGGCTCTCACCATTGGCCGTGGGGCTCTCGCCATGGGGCGCAGGGCTCTCCTTGTGGGGCGCAGGGCTCTCTCCATGGGGCAGCCCCACGGCAGGGGCCGGGCCCGGCTCGGGGGGCTCCGCTCCCGGCCCCTTCTCGTTCCTCCTCTTCTTCTTCTGCTGCTTCTTCTCCTTGCGCAGCTGCAGCTTCTCCTCCCGGGACAGCTCAGGGCCCTGCGGGCGGTGGGGCCGCCGCCGAGCCCGCCCAGCTCAGCGCTGCTCCCGGTCCGACCCCGCTGCTGCCCCCGGCCCGGTCTGGTCCCGCCCGGCTCGGCGCTGCTCCGGGCCCGGCCCCGCCGCTCCCCCCGGCCCGGTCCGGTCCCGCCCGGCTCAGCGCTGCTCCGGGCCCCGTCCCGCCCGACCCGCCCGGTCCGGTCCCGCCCGGCTCAGCGCTGCTCCCGGTCCGACCCCGCTGCTGCCCCCGGCCCGGTCTGGTCCCGCCCG